TGCATCTCAAAGATCTCCACACTCCCTATACCCGCTCCCCAGTTAAGGCGGCCTCTCGAAAATGTCATCCTTATTACTCAACTCCAGGTTGGCCTTGTGTCGTCTTTGTTTGAGACACCCGCCACAGCAGAAGGTGTATCCTACTTCAGTCCCGGAAACGAATTCCCCAAAGTCGGAGATATCGAAGAGAGCTGCCCCCTTTCCAGGTGATTATTTGAAGAGTTTTCAAAAAGCGACAACCGCTTCAAACGTCCGGGTCTGCGGAAAATTCTCTGGTGATTGACAATGTATGTTATTTACATGTGTGATGTTCCCACGCTTAGTTTCGTCCAACAGGAAACATCAATTGCGCAGACTACGAAACGCTGAATTTTGGACATCTTTCCTGGCACGTATCCCCTTGAGGTGGTAAGCAGCAGGGTTGCCTACACATCTGGTCGACTGGGAACTTTCACCACCCCAACGAAGCAACCTAGACTACCTAAGAGAGATTGCAAGCCGTCTTCGCTGTAGGGCGTGAATTGACGGAGGGTGTGGGGGTGGGGGTTGGTGTTGGGACTGAATGACTGGCGAAGGCATCTGTTCTCGTAGTAAGAAAAGTTTGCACGAGATCACTCTCATGCTCGCAACCTTCCCCCACCACCGTCATGTGACGGAACTATGTCGAGCGGACTGGTAATGAAATAGGACACAGTGGTCGTTCTGGCATTACTGGATCGTCCTACCGACAAACAGATTGCGAAAACAGCCTCAAGGATACCAGTCACGAAACCTTGTCTAGTTCGGCGCGCAAGTCAAAGTGGGCGCCGGAGTGTGGTCATTGTGAAGAGCACAGCATCGTGGAGTCACGGACAGAATGTGACGGGGACACTGTGTAAAGTGTCAAGGCGCAAACACAATCCAGCGCAAGCCCGCGCAACAGGTAGTTCAAGCACGCGCCAAATTCGCGATCGCGTGAGCTGAGAACTAGGACGGACAAGTAACCAATAAGAGCGAACGTGCGAACAAGAGAGGTGAGCCAATCAGCCGACGCTCTGGCCAGACCAATAGAAACCTTCTGCAATCACCGTTTGATATATAAGTGGAAGAGTGCACAGCCTCAACATATTCGAAACTGCAGCAATTTCCCTTAACTCTCCTGACCGCGTTCTCAATCCTTCTCGTTACCTTGCAATGTACTTCGGCTATGTTCTGTCCATCGCAGTCCTCCTTCTCTCGCTCCCTTCGGTTAGTCATGGATCGGTTTCTCGAAGTGAGTTCTTGCCCCATCCATTCCTAAATTTGCAATCCTTGCCTTTCTTTCCTCTCCAGTCATTCTCACCTTGGTCATTTTCTTCCTCACGCAGGTCGTTATAAGCGGAAGCTACAGTTCTCGCCTCCATGCCCTGAAGAAGGCTACCGCTTCGACAAAGGTGAGCTCTTATACAAACTTGAAGTGTAGACATCCAGAAATTGATGTAGTCGTCTTCTGCAGATAGAAGCTGAGGAGGCGTAGGACCTGTATACGTTTATGGAAGGAAATTAGGGCAGTTTGATTCGTAGGTGGGAAAGGGGAGGGGGATTATTACGTTATAGCCCAACTGTGTCCTTAATTTTCCGTCTCCTTTGACTTTCGACAGAAACTGGAAACTTCCTCTGCCTCGTGCCCACTGGCAAGGAGTGCTTCGAGTTGTGCCAACAACAACATTGCAATGAGTGGTCAGCCTTCAACTTCATGTACAGCAAGGACACGAAGGTACGTCATCGGCAGGCCTGTCGGTGTGTTCGGCCCTTCAATATGTGTCTCTACAACTACGTTCCTTAATGCGGTTCTGCTGGACGGGATGCTCTTGCGCCTCCGTGGTGTTGGAGAACCCGAATTTATCCTCCGGAAACACATTTTCCCCTTGGAATGGCCAAGAGACGGCACAGCGACGTCGGCCTTTCGTCAGGGTGGCCCAACAAGTGGAATGGTGAAGCAGTGGGAGGGGACGACGCCGGACGAGAAGTTGTGTGTATGTTACTAAGGTGAAACCGCTATCGTGACGAACTTTGTATTGCCTTTCCGACTTTCATACCACTTCATTTCTCGTCCGTTTGTTTTGGCACTTTATGATGTACAGCACGCACTGCATTCTCTGTCATGCAGTGTCTGTGTGTCTTTCGCATCCGAGCCTTCCCCGGGTTGTGCATATGCCGCCCTCGCTGTACTGTTATATGTGTACACAGGTATTACCACGAAGAAGAGATATAATGTGAAAGAAAAGGTGGTTGTCTTTGTTGAGTTTTGCATTTAATGGGATTGTCTTCATCGGTGTGGTTAACCAGCGTATTCTTAGTTGATATGGCTGGATAGGGTGGGCAACCACCGTCTGGAGATGTGGGGTCGGTGGTTCTTTTGGCTGGGTGTGGGTTTGATATCACCGCCAGATGGGTTTCGAGGAATGTTCATATTAAGATTGGTGCGCACAGCGTATCAGACGTACAGTTGAATCTTTCGAGAGTCAGCCAGGCGGTGTGCAGCGTTCAGTCCTATTTGCCAGCACGGAGTAGTTGTTTGTTAAGTTAAAGAGATGATTCCGTTAGGGTCGACCTGGCTCCCGTATGCTGACGACTCGATGTCGACTGGGCTGGTGGTAGACCATCAGTAGTGTTCAGTGCTGCGGTCCACGCAGTGTCTCCTAGTTGTGAACCAAAACGGCCATTTGTGTTGGCATGTTGACGACCGAGGTGGAGGCGGTTGCTTT